TGTAAATTGTGAATGGGAAAAGTACATGTTGCTAGGTAAGCACCAAAGAAAATGAAGCATGTGGTTTCAGCCCACAATAGACAGCCATACACATCCCAAAGAAATACAGAACTGAGTCCATGTGGACTTCTCTCCTCAGTAGTAGTCTTGTAATGAAATGATGTGTAATAATATGAATTTCTCCTTGTGGGTAAGTGGCTATATAGGTCAAGGATAGAGGCATAAGGAGTTAGAGCTGTGGGCAGAGGTTGCAGCTATGTATACCTCTGAGGTTAGGCTGAGGCAAGAGACAGGGAAGGATGTTTCACAGGTAGTTTAGTGTTCACATTATCAGAAGACAGCTGCCCTATTGTTGCTGTAGAGGACAAAAGCAAAATAAAACAAAACAAAACCCCTAGCAAGATGAAGAAGCAGTTTGAAACACCAGGAACCCTAAACTTCCTATGGAAATATCAAACTTCTGTATTTCTCTGTGGTCACTTGTAACTTTTTATTTAAAAAAAATTCCATTTCATCAGAACAGCAGCCTCCTCTACTGTTCAGTTACAGACCGCCCAGAATCAGCCATGTTTTTCTGAGGTCATCAGGAAGCTCCTATGATATTGATCAAATGGAAGAAAATGAAAAGTCTAATGTGTACCTAAAGCGAATATTCAAGAAAGCTAAATTTAGAAAGTAGAGGCTCCTGCATTTCTCATCTTTCATGCACTGAAATGTCCCTTTAAGGAATTCTGTGTAAGTTACATTTACCATTGGTGAGAATGGGTGACAAGAATGAAAGGATTGGTATTCCTCAGAAATCAAATACATCTTAGTAACTGGTTTAAAAACAAAGCCTAGAAACTACAGCCACTGGCTCCAATATGGAGGGGAATGTTAAGAAAAGTATTCCTCAACAAATTGCCTGTTGGTGAATTTTGAAAGTAGAGAAATTGGCTGTAGCTTTGGCTCTATGTCTATTTCCCCTTTCCCACACCAATGAGAAACTGCAGCTTCTCCACCCTATAACACAATGTGCGGAAGAAATGAAAAATTCATTACATTCACCCTATGTATATGTACTACATCATTACACCACTGAGTATGCTCCACTAATGATACAGAACATATGGGGGTATTAGATAAGGAATGACAATGAGGTACATTAAAATATTGATGTGTTTAATTTTAATATTTATTTAATTGATAAAAAATTGTTTGTGAAGGGAGGGCAGGGATAAGGGGAAAAATGAGAACCAGGTCCTGTAATGTAAAGGTACAAGATCCCAATGATGAATGTAACTGGACTCTATACCTAAAGTGTACCAATAGACTCAATGAGGAAAAAAAATTGTAAGGCAATTTCATACAACTTCTGTAGGCAGCATTTTTTCCTCCTGATAGAGCTTAGGCTCAGTGTTATTACCAAGTTAACACGAGCACAACTAGAAAGCAATCTAGATAGCCAGCATGACATATATCCCATGGTCTAAACTCTTGGTTGTTTTTTAATAGTTTGGGCTATGAGCTCATTCCTTTCATATATTCTGGGTGTTTGCTGAAACTCTGAGAAAGGTTGTCTGGTTCAGTTTAATAAGTTCTTATTTGTGATAACCACTTCCATTTTTCCCACAGATTTTTGCTTTTTCCCTTCAGCTGTGCATTATGATGGCATTGGCCTTAAATATTTTCAGGGAGTTAAACTTTATCTTAAGATTTCAAAGAAGAGAAAGCTTATTTTATACAGCTCTGATTTTTGTGTAATGGTGTCCACATCCAGCAACAGGCTGTGGCAATACTTATACCTGATCTTTGCTTACAACTCAAACTGAAAACCAATTTTCTGTTAGGATAATTTTATATAACCCCAGCTACATCTCAATTTATGGAAATAATTACAGTAAATTAGATCACAGGAAAGCTTAATTAGCCAGTCATAGTTTTGAGTGAAAGTTCATTTTCTGCGAAAATTAGAAAAGCCAGAGCTCTTGGTTCTCCATTGTGTAATGAGCTAGCACCATACATTAGAGGCACTGTGGGCAAGTGAATTGTGGCAGTGGCTTGGAGGATGGGGTGGTCCTGCCCCAGGCCTGCAGATGGGGCCGTGAAAGCTGAATGCTCAGCAGGAAGGATGAGAGTAAACGGCCCCAACTATTTCCAGATCACTGTACCATACGTTAAATTCTCCTGCTTTTGATAATGCATCTGTGATTTCTTTCATTATTACTTGAGGAGCTCATTACTTGAGCAGCTATTGTTTGATTTAAAAAAATAAAGTTAATATTATTATACTATATCTGCTGGAAGCCACAGGACAACATTTGCTTGGAATATTTAGACTTGTGTATTATATCTTACACAGCTATAAAGGGATGACTCTTTAAACTGTTTTCACTATTGGGCTTTAATTTTTTTCACATTCATATCACAGAGCTTTCACAAATGTCATGTACACAGCATGTACAGGATTACAGAAGACTGGGGTAGTGTCACATCAAATGCATATCTTTTTTATCTGTTGTTTAGGATGGGAGCACATCACTCACCTTGTGTGTCTTCCTGTTATCTGGTTTACCCAATGTAATGTTGAAAGCTGGATCCCGAATATCCCCCCACGTAAATTTCATGTCTCTGAAATATTTTAGACTTATATTAGAATATTACATGGACTAAAAATGAACGAAGGTCTTATTTTTTAAATATCAGAATTTTCACAACCTGACTCTTTCTTTCTCTTTTTCCTTCCTTCCTTCCTCCCTCCCTTTCTTCCTTCCTCCCTTCCTCTCTCTCTCTCTCTCTCTCTCTCTCTCTCTCTCTCTCTCTCTC